AAAATATCCCCGAATCAAGGAACTTGAAAATATTTGTTTAAAAATGTAAATTATGTTCAATGAGGTTCAGACGAACGAGCAATAGAAAATGTCTCAGAGCTATCTCACTGAGCTGAGCAGCAAACACACCAATCAGGAAATCACAAGTATTTTTTGGCTCAGCTCAATCCAGACTTGAAAGACACCTCAATAACTTTGGTAAAGTCGTAGGGAGTTTCACTGCTTGGGGCCTTGTCAAAAATCAACCCTACGGCTCGCTCACTCTGATCACAACGGTGTGCGTGTTTGAGTATGTGTGTGTGTGTGTGTGCGTGTGCGTATTTGTTTTCGTGTGTGCATGTGTGGGTGGATGATGGAAAAATGACCTCTACATTTGCTTACACCAGACAGTTATTCTCCATGAAATGCTGTGAGGCCTGTGGTGGGGAAGATGCCAGAACACAGAGGGATCTTTACCCTGTTTCAATCTGTTTATCTGGTGAGAATCCAAGAATTGTAGAGTGTTGGATGTCCAAGTATACAATTACTGAAAACAAGCTCACAGCCACAAAACTAGGTTAGTACCAGGGATGAAAGGGTTGAGTTACGAGGATAGGCTGACCAATTTGGGCCTATATTCTCTGTAATATAGAAGAATTCGAGGGGATCTTATAGTCACATATAAGATCATCAAAGGGCATGACAGAGTGGGATATTATATCACCTGGTTGAAGAAACTAAAACCAGGGTTCACAAACTTAGAATCAGAGGCAGCCCTTTCGCAGTGAGTTGACGAAGAAATTCTTCTCTCAAACGGTGGTGTATTTATGGAACTCGATACCCCAAAGGGCTGTTGACGCTCAGTCCTTGAACATATTCAAGACTGAGATAGCTGGATTTCTTATTGCAAAAAGGATTAAGGAATATGGGGATAAGGCAGGGTCAGTTTATTAGCTGGAGTTAGATTAGAAGATCAGCCATGATTCAATTGTGGGGCAGGCTCGAAGGGCCGAATGGCCTCCTCCAGCTCCTACCGGTTTTATTATGTTGTGTTAATTATTATTGCTGTTTTTTCTTGAGAGATTATTATCAGGCGTGTGTAAATGTCTCTGTGTGCATGTCTGTGTGTTTGTGTGTGTGTGTGTGTGTGTATGTGTGTGTGTGTTTGTGTGTGTGTGTGTGTGTTTGTGTGTGTGTATGTGTATGTGTGTGTATGTCTCTTTGTGTGTCTGTATGTGTGTGTGCTTGTATGTGTGTGTGTGTGTGTATGTCTCTTTGTGTGTCTGTATGTGTGTGTGCTTGTATGTGTGTGTGTGTGTCTGTGTGTGTGTGTGTATGTGTGTATGTGTATGTGTGTGTATGTGTGTTTGTGTGTCTGTATGTGTGTGTGTTTGTATGTGTGTGTGTTTGTGTGCACGTATATTTGTCCTGAAGGATTCCATTGTGTACTTAAAACCGAGAGAAGTTGTCTGGCATCAGCTGGAGAACCGAAGAGGAGCCTTTTGAGCAGGATTTCCCTGACCGAAACCACAGATACTTAGGGAGTTACAGACTATGAGTGACAAAGAGGAACTTCTTGACCGTCCAGTGAGTCAGTCCTTCACAGCGAGAAAGCGGAAAGGAGCAGGCAGACAAGATCACCCGGTAACTGGTATCAATCTGGTGGCCAGTGCTGCTTAATGGTAGTATGGTTTAAGTGGGGATCTGAGTGGGTCATTCAAGCCATTAATTATTTACTATTGCATCACGAATCATTGATTATTCGGTACTGCAGCAAAAATTGTTGATTATCTACTCTTGGTTTACGAATTATTCATTATCTGTTGTTGTATCACGAATTATTGAGTATCTGCTACTGCATTAGGAATTATAGATTACCTACTGCTGTGTCACGACAGGACAATGAGAGAGAGAGAGAGACAGACAGACAGACGGACAGACGGACAGACGGACAGAGAGTGTGTGTGAGAGAGAGACAGAGAGAGAGCGCGAAAGAGAGAGAAACATAGAGAGAGACAGAGAGAAATGGAGAGAGGGAGAGAGACAGAGTGACTGAGACAGAGAGGAACAGGGAGAAAGAAAGAAAGAAAGAGCGAGAGAGCAGTCTGTGTATTAGGTAATATGGTTTCATTGGAGATCTTAGTGGGTCATTCAAGCCGTGAATTATTTACTATTGCATAAGGGATTATTAATTATCAGTTGTTGCATCAGAAATTATTGATTATCTGCTGTTGTGTCACGAATCATGTTAATTTGTAAAATAATCTTTATTCAGTTATTTTTCCTAATAAAATATTAGGACAATTCTAACACGTTTATGCTGCTCGTGTACTACTTGGTCCACAAGAATGCCGAGGGGACTACCCTTTTCGAATTATACCTGTACTTACGTGTTAAACTCGGGTTGACTTACTGTACAACATTTGTAAATACAATAATAATATTGTAACAAGGACTTCGGCGTCTCAGTGTATCGACCACTCGTACAAACAACTTTACAATGAGATTGAGAGAGAGACTCAGGGTAAGAATGAGAAAGAGACTGCGAGAGAAAGAGACTGTGCAGGAGAATGTTTAATAAAGTGCAGTGATTGTGTGTTTTATGGGCGAGACAGAGATAGAGACTGAGAGAGAGTGAGAGAGAGAGAGAGAGAGAGAGAATCTGATAGAAAATATATCATGAGGTGCAGTGACTGTGCTTTGTGTGTAAGACAGAAAGAGACGATGAAATTCTGAGAGACTCAGAGAGACAGAACGAGAGAGAATGAGGGAGAGAGAGATCACCTGTGTGGGAGAGTGAGGGAGATTGTGACTCAGAAAGCGACTGAGAGAGAGAATGTGCGAGAGACAGGCTGAGAGACATAGAGAGAGAGAGAGAGAGAGAGAGACTGAGAGCGCGAGAGAAAGTGTGTGTGTGTGTGAGAGAGAGAGAGAGAGGGGGGAGAGACTAGAAGAGGAAGAGAAAGAGAGGTACTGCGGGAGAGAAAGAGCGAGAGAGAAAGAGAGAGAGAGATAGAAAGAAAGAAAGAGACCGACAGAATGTGAGACTGAGAGAAAGGTAAAGAGAGAGACTCATAGAGAAAAGTGTATAATAAAGTGCAGGTGATTGTGTTCGGTCGTAGAGACAGAGAGTCTGAGAGTGGGAGAGAGAGACTGAGAGTGAAAATATATTGCAATATGCAGTGATTGTGTTTTGTTGAGGGACAGAGGGCGAAAGAGACTCAGTGAGAGACAGAAAAAGAGAGAAATTCAGACTGAGAGCGACTGCGAGCTCTAGAGTGAGAGACAGAGACTGAGACGGAGTGAGAAACTTGGAGAGAGATTGAGAGATAGCCTGAGATTGAGAGAGATTGAGAGAAAGCCTGTGAGAGAGAGAGAATGAGATAGACTGTGAGAGAACATATATTATAAAGTGTAGTGACTCTTTTCTGGTAGATACCGAGAGAAACAATGAGAGAGACTGAGAAAGAGAATGAAAGAGAGACGAGGATAGAAAAAGTGACTGAGGCAGAGAGAGCCTGAGAGAGAAAAACTGTGAGAGAGATAGAGAGACTGAGGAAGAGTCTGCAAGGAAGATAGAGAGACTGGGAGAGAGACTGAGATAAATAATACATTACAAAGTGTAGTGACTGGGTTTTGTGGGTGAAAAACAGCGAAAGACTGAGCGCGTGACTGAGAGAAACTGTCAAAGAGACGTGGAGAGTGTGTGCGACAGAGAGAAAAGAGACAGTGAAAGTGAGAGAATAAGAGACAGACACAACGAGAGACTGAGGTAATATATTATAAAAGTGTAGTGACTGTGTTTTGTGGGTCAGGAAGAGACTGGAGAGAGATAGAATGACAGAGAGAGAGATACTGGGAGAAAGGAAATTGAAAGACAGTGTGAGAGAAAGTGAGACCGAGAGAGAATACGTTATAAATTATAGTGACTGTGTATTTTGTGGGTGAGACACAGAGAGAGACTGAGTTAGAGAAAGAGAGAGAGAGACTGCAAAAGAAACTGAGGGAGAGGGAGACTTTGAGAGAGTGAGAGAGCGAGAGTGAGTGTGTGTGTGTGTGTGAGAGAGAGAGAGAGAGAGAGAGAGAGAGAAAGCGAAAGAGATAGAGACAGCAGACTGCGAGAGACAGAAAGAAAGAGACTGAGAGGCAAAGAAAGAGGGAGCCTGTCAGAGACTGTGAGAGTGAATATATTATAAGGTGTAGTGCCTGTGTGTTTTGTGGGTGAGACAGAGAGAGCGGTAGAGTGAGACACGGAGTAAGAGACTGAGAAAGAATAAGAGCGGGAATGATAGATAAATAAGTGCAAAGAGGGACTGCGAGAGAAAAATTGAGCGCGAAAAAAGGGGGATTGACAGACAGAAAAAGAGCTGAGAGAGAAATAAAGAGAGAGACTTTGAGTCGAATAGAGCGAGTGACTGTGAGAGAAAATCTGTCATAAAGTGTCGCGACTATGTGTTTTTTGGGAGACACAGAGTGAGACAGAGAGAAGGTGAATGTCAAAAAGGGAGAGACTGAGAGAGAATGAGACGGAGGGACCAGGAGAGCGAGAATAACTGCGACATGTAGAGAAGAATGAAAGAGAGGGAGAGACTGTGGGAGACGGTGAGAGAGAATATATTATAAAGTGTATTTACAGTGTTTTTGTGAAAGAGAAAAACCGAGACTGAGAAAGACTGAGAGAATGTCGAGGAGAGAAGGAGAGACTGCGAGAGATCGAGAGGGATTGAGAGAGCTGTAGCGATTTAGAGAGGCTGTGAGAGAAAATATATTATAAAGTGTAGTGACTGTATGTTTTCTGGGAGAGGTAGAGAGAGCGACTGAGAGACAGAGAGAGACCATGAGAGACAGACTCAGCTAAAGAGATAGAGATAGAGAGAGAGAGAGAGAGAGAGACAACAACAACAACAAGATTCCATTTATAAAGCGCCTTTCACGTCAGGAGGACGTCAGGAGGACGTCAGGAGACTGAGTGAGATCGAGAGAGACTGAGAGAGAGCCTATGGGAGAGGCCGAGGGAGAGAGACTGTGAGAGAAAGAGAGAAAAACAACAATAAAAAAAGAAAGAGAGCCTGAGGGCAGGTAAGTCACAGGATTTATGTGATTATCGCGGTCCCCAGAGCTGGGATGGCGATGATAAGCGATTCACGATTATCATATTTAATAAACAATAACTAAAGTATCCAGAATATATTCCACATCACACCGACTGTGTGGAGAATCACTCCCTCATCCAGTGTCTCACTGTCACTGTCAGCTCCGCTCTGAATCCACGCAGTGACTCGAGTTGATTCTCTCCGTCTGAACTGAACCCATTCCCCAACAGCCTGAAACACATCAAACAGGAAGTAAACCCATGGGATAATGATAAAAAGTGTAAACTGCCCATGTCGCAGTTTAACAATACCATAAGACGTAAGAGCAGGAGTAGGCCGTTCGGCCCCTCAAGCCTGGCCCGCCATTTAGCAAGAAAATTGCTGTTCTTCAAACCTAATAAAATTTACCCGCCTTATCCCCAGATCCCTTCATCCCTCTATGCTTTAAAAACCGACCGACCGATAGACAGACAGACAGAGAGACAGAGAGACAAACAAATCCCTTCAAACTGTTTCCATTCTGATACCCAGGCCTTTCTCCTCATCGCATTAATCACTGATACACAAACTCACTTGATCTCCTCCAGGCTGGTGCAGGTCTGTATGAGATGACTGAGATCGGGGACAGAGCCGTCTGTGAAGGAGTTATACATCAGGTCCAGGTTCCTCAGTGAGCGACTTGTAACGAGAGCGGTGACCAGTTCATCAGTGCAGTCATCGGTCAGGCTGTTACTGTCCAGCCTGGAGATCAGAGACACAGAGACAACAGGGATCAGAGGAAACACAGTGTGTATGACTCACTACAGGCCGTCACCCACGGAAGGAAGAGGCCATAGAGGCCACAAGCGGACACAGAGATGGAAACGGCCCTCAGACAGTCCCTGCCCCCAGTGAGGGGACCTCAGGATTTTCCTAATATCGCGACAGTGTAAAAGAGGAAATTCCAGAACCTTCCATGCACAGAGTCGCCCAGTGGCTGTGAAAGTTCTCCTCCCCGGTTTATAGGGATTATGTTCTTGCGGAAGTGGTAATTAGGCTTTTTGGGCTCATTTGGCTTCAACGTGACATCCCTAAGAATGGAGAATGAGAATCTCCTCCACCTTCTGTGACGGTCTCTAGTCCTGTTCCTGAGTCCGAAGGGGCCGCAGTATTCCAGGTCACTCACTGGTGATGGTAGTACATCCCAGCCTGGCTCATCGGCAGGACTTGGAAGGACAGAACAGTCACTGGAGGCAGGGAGACTTTCCACTCAGCTGCTGCTAACCCAACAAGCCAAAGCACTGACAGATAGGGAAACGGTGCTCCCTGTAGAATAGGCAGGGGGAAGCTGGCCAAACACTGAACAACAGCTTCAACACCACAAGTGACCTCAAAGCCAATCTCGGTACCCAAGCCTTGTCTCTGGCCTACCTGCTCCTAATAATATCTGGGATGAGGTGAGCAGGGGGTGACCCGCCGTGGAAAGAAATTGCCTCCGATCCACACACACAAATTTCCAGTCAGATGTGGAAATGTCAGGAGGATGGTTTGGAGAGTATGAAGACTGATGACAGGTTTGTGTGTGTGTCAGACAATAGTAGAGAAATACAAGCCACAGTGTGTGGAGGGATTGACGGGACCAGGGCAGGAACTTCGGGATTCGATTCAATGGGAGCGGTTTTGGGAGCTTGGAGCCAGTTTATTGGTCGGAGTTGTGAATGTCCAGATGTCAGGATAGCTAGGGTTTCCAGCACATGGTTTCTAATTAATAAATGTTGAGAATGTACACATGTTGAGAGTGTGACGCAAAATATGATTTGGCCTCACAATGTCACACCGAATCCTGTCAAAATATTCAGCCTCACTGATCAGACAGTCACAATAAACACATTGATATATTGGAGTCATTCAGACACTGGAGATATAGTGTGAGATGTCCAGAAGACGTGAAAAGCACGAACCATAACCATAATTATGATTATTATTATTATGACTTACCCCAGTCTCTGTATTTTACACTCCGGGTTCCTCAGAGCCTCACACAGTCGCTTCACTCCATAATCTCTAAGGTTATTGTTATTCAGGATCAGCTGCGTCAGTGAGTGGTTTGTACTGAGTGCAGAGGCCAGATCCTCGGTACAATCAGCTGTCAGATGGTTATATTCCAACCTGGAGACCAGAGGCCCAGGGCCATAGCAGGGATTGAGTTATACACACAGAGTTTGTAAAGGGTCCTGTAGCTCAGTGGTTAGAGCACTCGCTTTGCAAGTGAGAGACCTGAGTTCAATTCCAGGCAGAGGGCGAAACCTTATGCAAGTTTCCTTACTCCACACAGAGCCTAATAATAATCCCTCCATAAAACCAAAAAACAATAATAAATTGGTCATTTACAATCTACGACTGTTTGTGGGACATTGCTGTGCGCAATTGGCTGCCGCGTTCGCCCACAAATATACAGTCAATTCATTTTACAGTGTGTTCTGTGAAGCGCTTTGGGACATCTTCCCGACGTGAAAAGCGCTATATCAAATGCAAAGATTATTATTATTGCTACTATTATTAACCCACTGTAACTCGCTGCAGAACGTCACCCACAGAGCGAAGAGATTTTTGAGGGCACAAGTGGATACAGAAATGGAAACGACCTTCAGACAGTTCCTACAACGAGCGAGAGGGCCTCAGGTGTTTTTCCCCTTATAGAGATATAACATGTAATATAATAATTAAGCAAGCATTTGATATAACGCCTTATCATGCCTCAGATTCTTCAGAAGGTGCTTCACATTATATACTGTGCAATGAATTGTCTATATTTTGAGGGCGAAGTTTTTTTGAAGGGTTTATTAAATCTGGAAAAGCAATCTGCCAATCGAACAGCAACCGGGTTTATATTGACTGCACCAAAGCTGAGGCGATGGAGTGAGGAAACTTGCTTGAGGATTGACCCTGACCGATCGGGAATCACACCCAGATCTTCTCGCTAGCGAAGGAGAGTGCTCTAGGTTTGATAGCGAGGGGAGTGCAATAATCACTCAGCTACAGGAATTATACTCATGACTAAATCTGTGTAGACTTCCTCTGGATGAGGTTTTTGCTCACAGGTTCTGACTGTACAGATACCAACAAACAGCAACTCAGCTCATGATTTCTCCACAAATCAATATTCCAGACGGTATCTAAAGCCAGTTGGGAATGTAGATGGTATCGTTGAACTGAGTGCATTAAATCCTTCGGATTTATATGAAAATCCCCAACCTCTTGCATGGGTGAACGGGACAGTTTGCAGGAGTGCACAAAAACATACACATGGTCAGAGAAATACATACAGACACACATGCAAGTAAACTCACAGACACACACAGACTCACTCAGACACGCAGACAAACACAAAGAAAAACGATCACAAACGCATATGAAGACATACACAAACACACACACAGAAACACAAGCAAACACACATACAAACACACAAACAAATGAAGATAAACACACAGGCACAGAACACACTCATGCAAACACATACCCACACAAACAAGAATATGCAAGCGCACAAATACACACATATGCAGAAACACGCACAAACATACATATACACACAAACGCGCGCATATACACATACACAAATTAATATATTATTCAGTGCTCCGAAGGAGGGTATTTCTATATTCAACTACAATCTATTTTAAAAGTGGCCCAGTTGATGGGAAGGCTCTCTTCCCCTGTTGATAGGGATTAGTGTTGCGGAGGAGGAGGTCATTCAGGCTTTTAGGGATGATTTGCCTTCAACAAGAATGGAGGTTGGGAATCTCGTGCCCTCTGTGACGGTCTCTGGTGCTGCAGTATTTGTGGAGTCCTGTAGCTCAGTGATTAGAGCACTCGCTTTGCAAGCGAGAGACCTGAGTTCAATTCCAGGCAGAGGGCGAAACCTTGGGCAAGTTTCCTTACTCCACACAGAGCCTAATAATAATCCCTCCAAAGCCAAAAACAATAGTAAATTAGTCATTTTCAATCTACGAATGTTTGTGGGACATTGCTGTGCGCAACGGGCTGCCGCGTTCTCCCACAAATATACAATTAATTCACTTTACAATGTGTTTTGTGAAGCGCTTTGGGACGTCCTTTCGACGTGAAAAGCGCTATATCAAATGCAAGGATAATTATTATTATTTCAGTGCACTCACTGCTGATGAACGCACAGCCCAGCCTGGCTTAAAGTAAGGACTTGGAAGGACAGATCTCACTGGGGACAGGTTTGTGTGTGTGTGTCCGACACACGGCTGATAGAAGGAGAGAATTACATACCCACAGTATGTGGAGGGATTGACGAGACCAGGGCAGGAGTTTCCGGGTTAGACACAATGGATCGGATTTGGGCTTGCAGACAGTTTAGGGGTCGGAGCTGTAACTATCCACATGCACATCCACATGTCACTAGAGCTGGAGTTTCCAGCACAGGGTTTGTTATTAGTACATGTTGAGAGTTTGATGTAAAAATGGCTCACACTGTCACACCGATTCCTGTCACAAAACACGTCCTCAATGCTCAGACACTCACAATAAACACATTGAAATATTGGAGTCATTCAGGCCCAGGAGACGTAATGTGTTGCTTACCACAGACTCTGTATTTTACAGTCCGGGTTCCTCAGGGCCTCACTCAGTCGCTTCGCTCCACAATCTCCCAGATTATTGCTCCTCAGCCTGGACACAGTCGCACAAACACAGTGAATATAGAGTAACAATAGAATACACATTGATCTCTGTGTACAAGAGCATTTTACGTGAGGAGCAAATCCCAAGGCGCTGGGACCAGAGTTAGAAACACCCGCACATGCACACAAACACATTCTCTCCTAAGTTCTCTCTCTCTCCGTCTCTCTCCTCTCTCTCTCTCTCTCTCTCACTATTAGTCTCCCGATTTCTCTGTCTCAGTCTCTTGCTTCATATCTCCCACAAAATACAGGCACTACGCCTTCCAATACATTCTCTTTCAATGTCTCGCTCTATCACGATCTATCTCTGTCTCCCCCCGCCCTCTCTCTCCCTGTGCCTCTCAGTTTCTCTCTTTCTCTTCCACAAAATAAAGACATTACACTTTATATTATAGTCTCTCTGAGTCTCTCTCTGCTCTTTGTCAGAGACAAAGTCAGTCCCAAACATCAGTTTGTCACCCAGTCTCTCACTCTCTCTCTCAGTCTGTCTCTCTCTAACTCAGTTTCTCCCTATGTCTCTGTTCTCGCTCACTCTATCTCAGTCTCTCTTTCAATTTGTCTCCCTCAGTCTTTCACTCTATCTCTCCCACACAACAGAGAGTTACTATGCTTTAGAATATAATCTCTCTTCGTTTCTCTCTTTCTCTTTCTGTATGTCCCACTCTCTCTCCAACAATGCGTCTCTCACAAAACACACAGTCACTATACTTCATTATATTTTCTCTCCCACACTCTCGCTGTTTCACTCAGTCTCTCTCTCTCGCTCTCTCTCTCACACACAAAGAGTCAGACACTCTCTCTCACTCTCTGGCCCTCTATTACTCTCTCTCACTCTCTCGCTTCTTCTTCCACTCCCTTATAGTCACCCACTGTCTCTCAGTATCTATCTCACTTTCCCGTTTTCACTTTCTCTCGTAATTTCTCTAACTTTCACTTTCTCCCTTTCTCTCTGTTTCCCGCTTTGTCTCTATCATTCTCTGTCTCTCAGTGACACACTTTTTCTCGCTCATTCTCTATTTCTGCCTTTCCCTCACCCTCCAGCTGTCTGTCAGTCTCTAACTCTCAGCCTCTTTCTCTATCTCTCTCTGTTTTTCTCTCGTGCAGTTCCTCCCATAGTCTCTCGCTATCTCATCTACAAAACACAAAGCCACTACACTTTATTACAAATTCTCTTACAGTATCTCTCTCTCTCTCTCTCACTTTCAGTCTCAGAAGGGCAGTTTGTGGTTGAGAAATTACGAGTTTGTGTTTGTGGTTGAGAAAGAGAGGGATTGATAGAGAGAGAGTCTGGAAGGAAGAGACAGAGAGACAGAGAGAGAGAGAGAGACTGAGAGAGAGAGAATGACAGAGAGATTCGGGAAAGAATGACAGCGGAGAAAGATACATTGAGAGAGAGACCGTGTGTTTTGTGCGTAGACAGAGAGCGAGAGACTGAGAGCGAGAGAAAGAGAGAGACTGCGAGAGAGAATAAGAGAGAGACTGCGGGAGAGAGACTGAGAGACAGACGGGTAGAGAAAGAATGAGACTGACTGAGAGCGAGGGAGACGAAGACAGAGAAAGACTGAGATAGAGAAACTCTGGCCGAGAGAGTTTGTGGCAGTGAATATAAACTGTAGTGGCTGCGTTTTGTGGGAGAGGGAGAGAGAGAGAGGAGTGACTCACAGACAGATAGAGAGATATGTTGAGAGAGAGAGATTGAGAGTGACTATGACAGTTAATGTGTTGTAAATTGTAGTGACTGTGGAGCAAAGTTGCCGGTGATAACCAATCAGGCGAGCCTCAGTCTTGCCGATATCCAACTGAAGTATGTTAGCTCTTATCCAGGACTTGATGTCTGACAGGTATCCTGTCCGAACAGCAGTGGTTGTAGGATCGCGGGAGGACTCAGAGAGATAGAGCTTGGTGTCATTTGGAAGTTGACCCCAATGTCTGCGGATGATGTCACCAAGAGGGAGCATGTGCAAGTTCAAGAGGAGAGGAACATGTGCAGAGCCCTGAGTAACACCGCATAATATGGTGCGCGGGCTGGAGGAGAAGCCATTTGTGCAGACAAAGTGGAGCCGGTGTGAGAAATAGCAATTGATAATAATAATAATAACAATTAATAATAATTTGTAGAAAGCTGGGCTGCTGGGTCTACATGGAGCGTGGAGCTCCGCTATGCCTAGTCCTGTTAGCTTCACCGTTTACGCTGGGTCTGTTTCAGCAGAACTGGCCCACAGTTAGTGTATGAATCAGGCTAACATCTTGAATACTCTAGGTGGAATCACCAGGTTCAGGGCAGTGGTTATGTCTCTAATCTCTCATTCTCCAGACACTGTGAGCCCCAATCCTGGGAAAGAGATTCTCTGTGGCTGGTAGATCTCACGAGCTGGAAATGGAGACACTTAACTACGGCCAGGGGAACCCACACCTGTCAGACTGATGTCACGCTGAGGGAGATGTGTTTGGGGTGAATTATGTTATGACAGAATTATAACTGATGTACTGGAGAGAGGTTGTAGCTGCCACTGGAAAAAATGTAGTGCCCGAGCTCTTGGGAGGTCTCTTATCCCTGGAATGCAGCCCTGGAGGAAGGTGCTGATGCCGCAACGAGAGGACAAAAGTTACCTCAGGCCTAACCACATGGTTCAGGGGTGTGAATCCTGGGAGTCATAACTGGGGGGAAGCTTAGAAGGCTGGAGTTTAGAAGGGGTTCAGTTTGTCAGATACTCGTGTCAGGAGAACCACTCTCTTGTATGATTAAGCCGGAACCATTGAAAAATGTCTCTGAGCGCAAGCTCCAGTCTGTCTATCCGAGGCTCAACTTACAATAAATTCAATAAAGTTAGTATTCCAGAAGGAGTTAGGAACCAATCCCATTAAAGGAACGTCACCAATCTGGAAAGGGTGTTGAGCAGCCAGGTGGGCAGTTGAATGTCAGCCACTCACCTCCCTCTCCGCCAGGGCAGGTCTGTGGTGTGTGACGGCTATCACAGTATCATCCACGTCTCCCTGTTGTGTGATATCATTCGCCCATTGACCAACTGCTCTTCAATGTTAGTAAAGTCCTGTAGAATGGCCTTGATATATGAATAATAAGAATAACATTTACAAACAGAGTAAACTTACCGCAAATCCTGACACTTGAGCAAAGCAGGAGCCAGACGCTGGAGACCAGCATCCTGAATGTAGCAGTTCCTCAGATCCAATAGATTTATTGTGTCACAAAGTCCAATGGCCTGAGACAGCACAGCACAGTCTATCGGTGTCAGTCTCAATGCTTCTCCTGAGGAGTCACCACCAAATGTCAGTGTTTGTACAGAGCCCATTGTGAGCTGTGCCAGGGTTTGATTCTGAGACTCAAACAGGTAGTGGAGTGCGTTCAGCAGCGTCATTTTCCCAGTGACCGTGTCTGCGTCTTTGATCTGAGCTTTAATATTCTCCTTCAGCCAATCGATCACATCGCAGGTTGTCTGGGGGACAAATCGACCCAGAAACTCCTCCAGTGGCTTAGCTGCCCGTGGGGAGGAGAGACCAGCAACAAATCGCAGAAGTATCTCAAATCGGCCGTCCCCTTTACTCCGAGCTTTTGTATAAAAACATTTCTGAAGACTTTCTGGATTCGGAATCAGGAACTGAGCGAGTGCGGCTACAAACTCCTGGATGGTGAGGTGCGGGAATGTGTAGACCACGCTGTACTCTGAAGACTCTCTCTCCACAAGTTCCATGAGAAACCCAGAGACGAACTGGGAAGGTTCGAGCTTATATTTGATCAGATCTTCATCGTTAAACACAATGTTTCTCTGGGAGACTCCATTGAATGCCATCTCACCAATCTTCAGCATCACATCACGGAGGCTTTCCACCTTGACACTGTGATGTGTTAAAATATGGTAAATATAATAGGAGAAGAGTTGTGTGATTGTCTTGGGCACTTCCTGTTTGTTGCTGTGTTTCCGAGTAAAGAAGGGACCAAGAGACAGAGCGAGGATCCAGCAGTAAGACGGGTTGTAGCACATGGTGAACAGGAGCTCGTTCTCCTCCACGTGGCTGTAAACAGCAGCCGCCACTTCCTGATCTTGAAAAAAATTGTGAAAATATTCCCTTCTCTCTTCACCAACAAATCCCAGGATTTCAGCCCAGACACTGACCTGAGCCTTTGCCAGTAACTGTAATGCAGTGGGGCGGCTGGTCACCAGCACTGAGCATCCTGGCAGCAGCGTTTGCTGTATTAAACTGTACACAATATCCGAGACATCACACCAGAATCCGGGATCTGTGCACATGTGCTGAGATTCCGTGTCTCCCCGCTTGTCAGTAAAATCAATCCTTGCACTGAATTCATCCAAACCATCAAATATAAAGAGCAATCTTTCTGGCTGTTTCCACAGCTCGTTCAGAACATCCTTGAGGTAAGGATACTCATCTAGGATCAGCTGTCTCAGTGTGATTCTGCTGTTACGTGTGTTTAGGTCTCGAAATTTGAAAACAAAAACAAAGTGAAAGTGAGGGTAGATTTTGCCTGTCGCCCAATCATGTATAATCTTTTGCACCATGGTTGTTTTTCCAATCCCAGCAACTCCACTGACTACTGCAGAAGTTCCTGTGGGAGAACCAGGAACGCTTCCGTGGGAGGAAGGTAAATGACTTATTTTCGAGAAGCTGCTGTGGAATAATTTATCAGTTGTGATTTTCTCGAGCTCTCCCCGGATTTTCTTCTGTCTCCACTCCTCGTGATCTCTCCCTCTCGCCAGCAGTTCATGCTCTACCAGATTCCGGTGACGGAGATCCGAAATGATTGTTAACTCCGTGTAGTGATCAACCAGCTGAAACTTCTTTACTTTTACCTTTATCAGGATGGTCTTCACCTCCAGCTTCTCACATTGTTTCTGTAACGTCTCCTTGTGCTGTCGCTGAATGGCTTCATGTAGAATATTAAACAATCATAACGTCAATAGAAGTATTATTCAACATTATTAAACATAGTAATTACATTCAATGTAAGGCCTTCACGGCAGGAGGACTTCGCAAAGAGCTGCACAAGATTAAATGTAAGGTGTAGTGAATGTATTTTGTTGGCAAACACGGCAGCTAATTTGTTCACAGCGAAGTGAAGTGAGTGACCTCATTTATTTGAGGGATCTTTGTCCTGGAAACCGGGAGAGGAAACTCCCTTATCTTTTCAAAGAGTTACGTGGGATTTTTGATTGCCAACTGAAAACGGAGACAGGATCTCAGTTTAGTGTCCCAATGGCTGCATCTCTGACGAGGCAGCGTATCCCAGAACTGCACTGGAGTGTCTACTAGTCCTCTTGATGGAACTTGAGCCCACACACGCTGCATTCGAGACAAGCGGAACACCAATTGAGCCAGGAAAACAATAGTTAAACAATCTGAATTACACTCACACCACGGTATATGCGCAGGCCATTACATTATGAACTGTGAGAAGTCTTCCCTGCTTATTATGAGAAAGATAATTCGAAAGCAATATTTGCTGATATAGTGTAAGAATTCCATAAGTATCACTCCCCTCCCTTCTGATCTACCTCGCCCCTCTCCCTTCCCCCACCCATCCCTCCTGCCTTCTCTCCTTATTTGAATTTTCTGGAAATCAACAAGTAAAGGGAAATGTGTCAAACTGCTTATTTTAGAAGCGATTGACTGACTTGATTCTTTTCACAAACCTATAAGTTCACTGGGGACGTCTGGTACACTTCGGTCAATGGTCACTTCATTCACTAGGCTGCTACCTGTTTGAGTAGAGTTAAGCACATTAGTTTGAATGAACGTTGTCTCAATCCTATTTCAGTATAACATGTAACTCACCGCAGAATGGAGTCACAATATAGCATCATAACATACCTTGTCGCTGTATTTCAGTCATGACTTTGCTCAGTTTGGGTAAAGTGGGCCTCAGTTCCACAAATGATTCCCACATCACCATCCTTGCCTGGGAACCTTTCCCCATCACCATGTTCAGAAGAAGTTTGGAGCTTTGTCTCCTCTGCCCACTGTGTGTGAGCTCAATGAGTTTCTGCAGAGAGTGAGCAATAATCTATTGAAGATGGAGCATTGATATTGATCAGCAATACCTCTCTCCATTGTTGGTTTCCTTGATTTGCTAACTCTTCCCTCCACAAAGTGCTTCCCTCTGTGATCTTCTCTTACATCATATTTCTCCCCTTCCCTTCCCAAATCCAGCTCGGCTCTAACTTTCAACTGTCGAGCGCCTTGGGACATCATCGCCATGTGAACCACGCTATACAAACACAATTTGTTGCTCTCAGTTTGGCGGTTGTACAGACACTCTTACTACTTAGTACTTGCAGCTGTGTACTAAACGCTGTACTACTCCACTGCATCCACACAGTGCATGTTCTTCATCATAACATAACTGGTTGGTTAAGTTGTTTATTTGCTCTTCTGTTGATTTTGTCATAAAAGCAGTACACGAACTGTGCAGGCAGCAATTGGCGAGACTTTAACCAATAATTCGTATCACACTCTTACACGTATCAGACGTATTACACTCTGAGTTAAACCTACTTTGTGCTCCTGCGGGCTGAAACATTCCTTCTGTGTCAGTGTTGAGCTGATGTCCTCCACGCCTTCCTCGATGGCCTGTTCCAATCTGTCCCGATAGAACTTTGTCAGTCTGTGCAGCTGGTACCCGTTGTACAGGGCCAGAGTCTCGGTGAATAAAGTATCTGTATCTGTTGGCAAGCAAGAAAACATCAGTCATACATTATTTTACTTTTATTCCCTGAAAAGTGTTCTGAAAATATTACCAAAATTTATTGTTACAAAAGCACAGAATAAACAAGCCTCCATTGACCCAGAGCATCATTTAGTGGCTGACATCAGATAGCTGTCAGCCTCGCTCAGTTTGTATCATTCTCTCGGCTGATACTGCAGGTTGTGCCTTCAGGACTTTAAACTCATAGACCAGCAGGACAATCCACTGCAGGACTCCCCTCTGGTTCTTTTGACATTTAAGTTAAATCTGTGTTCTCTGTTTACCGACCCACACAAAGAAATAGTTTATCCCTCTATACTCCGGCAAAACCACTATTAATTTTCAACATATTAATTCTATTAATATTAATTCTATTGTTAATTCTATTATTATAAATAATCCTTGCGTTCGATATAGCGCTTGTCAATTCTTCTGGGCGTCTCAAAGGGCTTCACGGAATATACCGTAAAGTGAATTGACGGTAAATGTTAGGGCGTATTTTGAAAATATATATGCCAGAAGTTTGCAGGTTCAAGCTTCACGGCGGGACATGAAACCCATATCCTCTGAAGGCAGTGGGTGGTGGAGTTAGGGTGAAGCAAGTCGGAAAGGAAGGGACATGCAGGGATATGTAGGGAATTGAAGACGAGAGTGAGGATCTTGAAGTTAATCCGTTCGGAATTTGGGAGCCAGTGCAGCCTGGCAAGGACTGGTGATATTGGGGTCCTGAGTTTCCGTGATTTAGTATCCGGATGACGGAGTTAATAGAATATTGTGTGGGGTGCAACTAAAGAGACCAGCGGGGTGCCCAGTCTGAAATATTTTTAAATATCCAGCCGAGAAGTCGCAAAGGCGTGGATCAGCTTTTTGGCTGTTGTGGCTGTGAGTTATGGACAGAGGCTGACAATATGGCAGAGGACGAAAAAAACTGTCAGAGTCAGAGAGCGGATGTGGGGGAGAAAGGAAAGCTGTGGATCGAATCTGAATCATAGGTTGCGCACAGGTTTGGTTTGTTTGAGAGAGAGTCCGAGGAGGTTGATGAGTTTGGACCCACAGAGAAGACGACGTGGGAGGGAGCCAAAGGATATGGCTTCTGTCTCGCCGACATTCAACTGAGGATGTTTGCGCTCATCCAGGCATTAACGTCCATCAGGCTGAGTGATAAGACATTAGTGTACTGGAAGATGCAGCTGGAGGAGAAGTAGGAAGCGAAGAAATATTTTTTAGCCTTATCCGCAAACATGTAGGTTGTATCCTCTCTACCCAGAAGGGTTTTGTTTGCAGCGTTAAAGGGAGATGATTTGGAAGCATCCATTCCCTCAGGAATGATCTTTGACTGCAAGACCTGCCCATGTGCCAAGCTGGCTGTACTTTCATGCAAGTCCTGCCCATATCCCATCTTGGATGATCTGTCATCATCAATATTTTGTTTCGTGAACTTTCCAACAAGTTCCCGATCTTCCATTTCACAAATTGGAAAACTGCTCAACCAGTAGACATTGACTTATCTCCCAGTTCTAAAGTGTGTGGGATGAAGATACGTGTTTGTGCTTAAAAGTAATTAATAAACACTTTACCTTTGATAGTTATCATATATTAAACATATTCCTCAAAATCTGTTAAAGAAAAGCCATTACCTGTTGATTTGTGGCCGGGTGTCTGATCCACACCACTAGTCGTGGCATTGCCTGTTGCACTGGCCCTTGGTTCAGGCTCCGTGGATGCCATCTCACTCGAATCTCCCAACCTGGTGGAACCATATCACAATGTAGTTGGGCAAACCAAATGTGGTAGCTGTTTCAGTTCCGCCAGATGTGGATGTGTTTAGTAGTGGTGATGTTGACAATTTAATTGAATCATCAGTTTTCTCGTGGCTCTGCGTTTTAGATTTATGTCCCCTCTTTCCCAACTATGTTCCAACAAAGAATTCAGTTGACTATTTGGTAAGATTTGTGATAGGTGTTGAGCTTTATTTACGTTTCTTGCAGAACAACAACAGCAACAACAAGATTTCATTTATTGATCACCTTTCACTTCGGAAGGACGTCCCAAGGGCTGAACAGTTGGGTCAGGACCCGACCAGGGGGGAAACGATAATAATAATAATAATCCTTGCTTTTGATATAGCGCTTTTCACGTCGGGAGGACGTCCCAAAGCGCTTCACAGAACACTTTTTAAAGTAAATTAACTGTATATTTGTGGGCGAAAGCGGCAACCAATTGCGCACAGCAATGTCTCACAAACAGTCGTGGATTGAAAATGACCAATATATTATTGTTCTTGGTTTTGGAGGGATTATTATTCGGTCTGTGTGGAGTAAGGAAACTTGCCCAAGGTTTCGCACTGACCTGCCTGGAATTGAACTCAGGTCTCTCGCTTGCAAAGCGGGTTCTCTAACCACTGAGCATCAAGACTCCACGATCAGGGTGAAGGGAGGGAAGGGATGGGGCGAGGAGGGGATAGAGAGTCGAGAGGCTAGCTGAAGGCACTGTCAAATAGAAAGGTCTTCAGACAAGCCTTGAAGGAGGAAAGGGAGTAAGCAAGGCGAAGGCACTGGAGGATGGAGTTCCCGTGTAACAACTGTTACAAGGCTAACAGGGAATCCAGAATGGATCTCTCAGGAAATAACATTGTGTTAGTCTATCAAATGTAATGTCCTTCTTTCTCACATTTGACATGCATGCTGCAATTAAGTAAATTGCAAGACTATCATTACGATAAATTCAGCAAATAAGTATACTCAGATTTCAAACTGAAACGCAGTTAGGCATAAATGTACTAACGTTTCTTGCATTTGTTTTCTTTCAAGTCAGGGGGATCTCTCAGAACATTTCCCCGCTTACTGCGAATTACTGTTAGTCAGTATTTTGTACTTGAATGCAGCAGCCAATTTCGCAGAATCATAGATGGCAGAAGGAGGCCATTCGGCAGAAGGAGGCCAATGTCAACTTTGAAAAGAGCAACCCAACCAAATCCCACTCCCCGTGCTCTCACCATAACCCTGCAAACTCGTCTTCCCCAAATAATGATCGACCGCTCTTAAAAGTTGTTATCCAATTGGCTTCCACCAACCTTTCAGGCCTTGTGTTCCAGATCCGAAAAACTCGCTGAGTGAAATAAATACTCCTCACATTCACGCTGTTTCTTTTAACAACATTTAAATCGGTGTTCTCGGGTTATCGCCCCACCGGCCAGTGGAAATGGTTTCTTCTTGTTCATCCTATCGAATCTCTTCATCATTTTGTATACTTCTATTAAGTTTCCACTAAACCTTCTCTGCTCCAAGGATAATAAACCTAACTTTGCTAACCTCTCCTGGTAACTGAAGTCCCTCATTCCTGGTACCATGCTGGTAAATCTCCTTTGCACGCAATGCATTAACATCCTTCCTAAAGTGTAGTGCTCAGAGCTGAACACAACCTATAGCTGAGGCCTAACCATTGTTCCACAAAAGTTCGTCATAACTTCTAGACTCTTATATTCTATTCCCCTATCTATGAACCTTAGTATCCTGCATGCTTTCTTGGCAGATTTGTATACCTTTCCTGCCATCTTCAAGGATGTACTTATATGAACCCTCAGCTTCCTGTTTTCCTTCACCCACTTTAAGATTCTACATTCTAGATTGTATTCTCTCTCCTCATTCTTCCTCCCAAAATGTATCATTTCACATTGATCCACGCTAAAGTTTTTGTATCAAGTGTCTACCAATTTTACCAGTCTGTCTACGTTCCCTTGCATTCTGCTCCTAGCCTCCTCGCTGTTTGCTACTTTTCCGAGCTAAGTCTTATCTGGAAACTTGGAAATTGTGATCCCGGTACCCAAGTACAGGTTATTTATGCAGATCAGCAAAAAGCAGTGGACCCAATATTGGTGTGCCTAGGGGAAACCAATGTACACAACATTCTCTGCTTTTTTTCTCCCAGCCAGTTCTGTATGCATGCTACCACCGTTTAGTTCAAGGCTGGACTATGGGAACTCTCTCCTCGCCGGCCTTCCCGGACCTCCCTCCACACTGCAGGTCATTGAGAACTCTGCAGCTCGTGTACTGTCCCGCACCAGACACCGCGCCCACATCACTCCCACCCTCGCTCGCCTCCACTGGCTCCCCATCCCCCAAAGGATCGAATTCAAGATCCTCAACCTCAACTACAAGGCCATTCACGGCCTCGCTCCCTCCTACCTCTCCGACCTACTGTCCCCCTAACTACCTGCCCGTACCCTCCGTTCCTCTGGCTCCAGTCTGCTCCACTTCACCGGCCCCAACCGCCCTTCCATCGGTGGCCGGGCCTTCAGCTTCTCAGCCCCGAGGCTACGGAACTCTATCCCCCAGTGCCTTCGCCTTTCTTCCTCCCTTTCCTGCTTCAAGGCCGGTCTCAAGACCTTTCTCTTTGACCGTGCCTTCAGCTCCCCTCTCGACTCTCTAGCCCCTACGCGCTCCCTCCCTTCTCTCCCCTCACCCTGACCATTTACCCCTTGCTCGGGTCCTGACCCAACTGTACAGTGCCTTGGGACGTCCTCCCGACGTGAAAGGCGCTCAATAAATGGAATCATGTTGTTTTTGTTGTTGTTGTTGTTTAGTTTAACACCGTGGGGCTCCATTTTCCTTACAAGTCTCTTCTGTGGCATTTTATCGAACGCCTTTTGAGAATGCATACAAACTACATGAACTGCACTACCTTCATCCGCACTCTCGAATCCTTCATTAAAAAACTATCACTTTCTTCCAGACATGGTTTGCCTTCAATAAATCAATGTTGGCTGTCCTTTCCTCACCCATATTTTACTAAGTGACATTTTATCTGGTCCCGGCTCATAGTCTCGAGATGATTCCCTCCCACTGAGGTCAGCGTGACTGGCCTTGTTTTTTGCATTATTTCCCTGGCTTATCCTGCCATTCACGCTTCCCCAGCCCAGCTTCATGCCGCCACCAGTGAAACAAACGCACTTCTCCAGATCAGCCCCATGCCACCAAAACATACAAACACACACTTCCCCGAATGATCACCAAGTCATCAACGCTCATGCATATACACACCTCCAACCCAGCATCTTTCCGACCACAATGACACACCCATACTTCTGCAGCTCGGCCCCATTCGACCAACTCTGACACATACAGTTCCCCAACTCAGCCCCATGCCACAGATACCGTCACGCACTTCACCACCAAAGCCCTATCCTGTCCTCAACAACACTGACACACACGCTCTTCACCAGCTCAGCCCAATGTTGCTCTCACCAACACTGACACACGCACTAATAAAGCCGCATGGCAATGAAACTGACACACACTTCACCAGCTTAGCTCCATGTTACCAACACTGATACACGCAATTCACCTGTTCAGCCCCATGGTTTCTTCATCAACATTAACACACACACAAAACCAGCTCAGTTCCATGTTACCCAACACCAATACACACACTTCAGCAACTCAGCACCATGTCAACAGCACTGACACACATACTTCACCTGCTCAGCCTGATGCCACCAACAATGACACGCATATACTTCCACAACTAACCTCCAAGTCACAACACTGTCACACACAAAATCTTCACGAGCTCAGGCTCACCGATACACAAAGCGTTCAACTCAGCCCCGTGCCACCAACACTGACAAAGACACACACACATACACACACTTCACCAGCCAGACTGTCTCATGTTGAAACTGGATATCCCACACCACGCCACCATTGCCTGCAGATTGTATGACCCGAACTGTGGCCCTCTCTCTCTCTCTCTTACTCTCCAGAAATCCATTACGCCCTTTCTCTTTCTGTTGTTGAGTCCTTTGAACATGTCCATGCAATGCCCCCGACCCTACTACCCCACCTCTGCATTTTGTGTCATCTAACAGATTCTCCTACTTCCTCCACATAAACACATCAGAGCTCCATCTTGAGACTTCTACTTTTCACAATCTACATTCTTCCCTTTGTTGACATTATCCAGAGACGTGGACTGGCTGCCATGTGATGTGGAGGAAACACAACTCCACCCTGCACCCACGAATCGAGGACCATTGCTGTTCTGGCTGTAAGACATCAAAAGCTGATTGATTTCCATCTATCTTCAATTGAGTTTTCTCAAGACGGAGGCTCACCTGTTTGAGTCCTGACAGAGCCTGATCACCCAAGGTATTGACAGCATCAATCTGCATCAAAGCTAAATTCACTTTTCTGAGCCAATGAGAAGACCATTTTCTTATTCCACCTTCACTGTCCTTTAATCCATATATCCTGCCTCTCACTCTCTCTTGGCGTTCGCTCACCTCTATAATATTGCTTGCAGCTGTACATTTTAAACCCCCTCCTCTCGGGTTTCTAAAAACTTATTTACTTTTTATTATATTGGGACCAGATTATATGAATCCCTTGCTCAATGGCATTCAAACACCCTCTCTACTCAAACTGCAGACCACACAAAATTGCAGTTTGTTTGCGATCCTACACCAGGCTCCATATCTCCATCGTTATGTTCTCCCAACATGAAAGGCGCTATACAAATGTGATTCTGTACTGTATTACCATTATCCCCTCACTCCACTCGATCCTGTAGCATTTGATTGGGTAGCCGGGTGTGTGGCACCAGTAAAAACCGATTACATTGATCAAGGATATCGAAACCAGACTAAGAATGCTTCCACCCACCAGCAAATCAAAAACGCTGTTCTGAGAATGGAAAGTCCAGAGGCGTGTGTACTATTAACCTGATCCCTGAAACTTTCAGGCACAAATTGGCAAGAGTCAAAGCGTGGGAACCTCCTTGGTTATGGTTACGGATAGGGGACATTGATGGAGTTTAACCAGCTCAAACTGTGTGGCTTACCTTAAGAACACTGTTTAGAAAGCTTCTCTTACTGATTCAATTCAGATCCGTGTCCCTTTGTTTGCATCTCTGCACGGCTCGCCTTTTCTATCTCTGTGACACTTTTCATCCCCACTGCCCCAGCTGCTCTCTCCATTCTGGCTCATGTCTAATTTTTGTCCCATGCTTGATGCTCCCGTTCATCATTGGACAAGCTTTCATCTCCTCCTTCCCAGGTTTGGAGCTCCACTCCGGTATCGTTTGCCATGACAGTTCTGGCAAAGCAAAACAGCCCAAGTACTGGAAAGGATTCTCCTCTTACTTCAGGTCTAGACATGTGGTTAAACCCAACCTTCTGACACAGGTTAGAGAGTGCGCGCACTGAGCCAGGCTGTCACGAGTTTTACATTGGCCTGTAATGTGCAGACGGTGCTGAATTTCTTTATTTATCTATTCATATGAGGAATAAAGCAATTCACTCCACCCTTATTGATTTCCTCTTATATATATGGCTGAGACGACGCTGCCCTGCGTGAGGGATGCTCTGTAAATTCAAGTTGTTGTTGTAACTATTTCTCTTCCCCAGTCACTCGGCTTCCTTTCCATCATCAGACTAACACTTTTTGAGTGTCCCACCTGCAATTTCAACCTTCTTTTCGATGTATTTCAGTAAACTGTCTAATTCCACTGTATTCAGTGCTTCAATCTACTGTTCTGATCTTTGAGCCCTCATTTACTTAATAGTCAGTGAAACGTTATCAATGAAAACAGTCAATGTTGCCTTTTATGGATACTTTCAGGTAACTCAACTGTGTGTTGGACTCTAGACTTGGGACCAATAACGTCAGGCGAGTTACATTCAACTCCTTAAAAGTCAATACCACGAGAGCCATCTGAAGAAATTCATATCTACTTGCGGGGAAAGGGAAAGAAAATGGAGGCGTTCAGTCGGACAGATTAAGATTCAGCATTAAACCTGATTTCCCACACAGTAAAAGCTTGTGAGTAACATTCAGAAAGTATCAGCTTCTCTTCACCATCTCCAGATCCACAATAGAAGGACATTTTGATTTTCAGGAATGAATTTTAAACCAGCGTTTGATATTCTGGGGAACATCAGCCACGAAAAAAGACGTCTCAGTGAAGCCAACCAAACAATACCAAGCACAACAGCACAGCATCGTTCACGTGATTGGCAACTCGGAGCTCTTAAACAGAAGTGTGGTTGCTCTACTGAATTTTATTTTTGTCACCCGAGTATCTAATACCCTCAAAAAACCCATCACCACACCAAACAGTGTCCAAACGAAGCTAATATTTCCATGCATCCAACTTGCACGTGGAAGCTACAGAGATAAATTGCAGGAATGGAATTAGCATCCTCTCTCTGGAGGGTTCATCCTGCTTAACTACAGCCGGAAAGGATTAGGAGCAGGTTGGCAAAAGCCAAGGCGAGGGTAGCCCAGAGGTCTGCGATGGGGTAACTGCTAATGTCTCACCAGCCAAACCGTAAGATGGAAGGATTGAGGCAGTGGCTGACAAAAGCGTCGGCCTAGGTCCTTAAGGCAGTGTAGAGGAGAGCACCCAGAATGATAGCTAGTGTTGGTCAACGAACTATGAGCAAGGATTAAACAAGCTCATGGAAATTAATTAAACGAACTCTATTTAAATTATTTCAGCATCACTGGCTCCGTGTTTCCTTAGTAGCAGTAAACTTTCAGTGATTTCATTTTGCGCTGTTTCCATGGGGTGGCAACTCCAAGCGCTTAAAACATGGAACAATTTTACTGTTTTATTTCAGCCACAATCAGAGCTGACAAAAGACTTACCGTCTTCTCTCCCAACTGACGAAGCGGGGGTTCCTGTCACTGGTGGCCGAAACTCTCAGTGATGTGACTTCAGTGTTCTCGGCTATGCAGATGATAACACACCCTGGGCAGAGTCTGGCAGCTAATGCCTGGCTGTAAATGATAGCCTCGCCCTGTTCCCTTGGAGATTTCCACCGAAACTAAATGCTTATCTGCTATAAAAGATAAACTGTTCGGGATTATCAGCCTGAGTCAACAATTTAAGATCGTTAGCAAAGAGCCATGTGGGGAGGTTTGTAGACTTATGTTTACCTGAACCGCTGGGTTTTGGAAAGTACTGGCGGGAGTTGTTTTGAAATCAGAATCTATATTTGCATTCAACATATATCGAGATACCAACGTAAAATTACTGAACTATCTTAAATGGATTTGGGAAACAAAGAAGTAAATCGGTCTGGAATGATTGGTGTAAGAAGTGCCACAGCAACCACCATAACACTATTCTTCTGTGTTGTCAATCACTATGGTTCGTTGTTGGTGTGGTACAAAATTTGGCTTCATGGGTTTTATTCAAATAAATGATCGGGAAAGGAAGAAAAAGCGTATTGAAGACGACAGGTTTTTTATATTGTGTGAAATGAAGTGGGTTTTCATACTCATTTTCTCGCTTTTCTCGCACACTCGCTCGCTCTCTTCTCTCAATCACTCTCCTTTCTTACCCTCTGTCTCTCACATATTCTCTCCCTCTCTCAATCAATCTCTCTCACTCCTCTTTGTTCCATAAAAGCTCTCTCTCACACTCACTTTCCCCTCTCACATTCTCTGTATCTCCCCTCTCTCAATCATTTACCTTCTTCACCCTCCTCTATCAAAGACTCTCTCGCACTCGGTCTTTGCTTTCTCACTCTTACTCCCTACATGTTGTTGTTTATCTCCCTCTCTCGATGATCATCTCCCCCATCTCTGTCAATCAAGCTCCACCTCACTTCTCACTCTCACACACACACTCTCATATCGCTCTCCCTCAATCAGTCTCTCTCCCCCTCTTTCATACACTGATTCACTGGACCTCGCTCACCTCTTTTATTTCTCCCACTCTCCCTGTCTCTCTCTGTTTCTTTCTCTCATATCGAACTCTATCAGTTTCTTTCCTTCCCGGACGTCAATCACACTCTACCCCCACTGTCGGTCTCATTCTGTTCACATTCTCACCTACAAACGCACTCTGCTCTCACTCGCTCTCGATCGATCTCTCTTTCTCTCCCTTTCTCTACACATTCTCTCACATTATCCCTCTCACACCCTGAGTCACTCGCACACTGATTTACTGACTGACTCACTATCTGCTTTCGCTCGCTCTTCCTCCCTCAATCCTGTCACTCACATTCTATCTTAGCACTCACTACCCGATTTATATCAACCACTGTCCCCACCCCCCACTGTGGGTCACTTCTCAGACTTACACACTCTCTCCCTTCCCTCTCTGCTCTCATTCTCTCTCAATCTCTCTCTCGCTCTCTGAAAAATTCTGTCAAGCGCTCAGGGAATCTACCCTGCGTGAGTTCCATTGTATAAAGTTTTTTTTGCTGTTGAGAAAGTTAGTATAAGCAGAAGAAGAGTAATTAGTTCGGTTAATGTTCACTTCAGACAGTAGCGCCAATAGAGCTACACTCCAGGAACTGTACAGTCTGCTGAGAATCGTTACACAATTAGTGGAGTACCCATCCGTCATCAGATTAACCCCCGTGTGACATTGCCACCGCCCAATTCAAATTTTCTAATGTTCCATTTCTCTCATCAGCAAATCTACTGTTCTGCGTCTAATCTCTTGATTCTGATCTTTGAACCTAATTTGTGTCATAGTTAGTGAAACGTTAACGAGGCAATTATGCAATGTGGACTTTTATGGATATTGGGATCCGGACTTGGGTTAGTTTTATTGAGCTCCTTAAAAGTGAGGAACATGAGTACGGTTTTCACAAAAATCATTTCTACTTGTGGCCAAAGGGAAAGAAACGGCGGCATTCAGTTGGACAGTTTAAGATTGAGCAATATATCACGGTGACATCTATGGTGGCAATATTCAGATAGATTCAGCTTGTTTACACTATCTCCAGATTCACAATAGATCGAAACGCTGAGTTACAGGGATGAAGTACAAACCAACATGAGATAAGCTTGGATCTCAAGCCACGAAAAGAGAAATTTCACAGAAGACAACAAGGCAACTGTAACAATCAGAATATATCGCCATTCACCTGGTTAGCATCGCGGAGCAGTTTAAGCAGCAACTTGTTTGCTGAATTCAATTTTACGTTTGTCAGCCGAGTGTCTGACTACGTAAACCCCTCAACAAACAAAACGCTATCCAAACAAAGTAGAGATTTCTGTGCCTCCCACCTTGTACACGGAAACTACAGAGATTCATTGTGAGAATGTAATGAGCATCTTCTATCGGGAGGGTCCATCATACTAACCTCTGACGGAAATTACTTGGTGCGGGTTGGGAAGAGCCAAGGCTTGTGGGAGTCTAAACTGTGCGTTATAATAATAATAATAATCCTTGCATTTGATATAGCGCTTTTCACGTCGGGAGGACGTCCCAAAGCGCTTCATAGAACACACTGTAAAGTGAATTGACTGTATATTTGTGGGCGAACGCGGCAGCCAATTGCGCACAGCAATGTCCCACAAACAGTCGTAGATTGAAAATGACCAATTTATTATTGTTTTTGGGGTTTTTGGAGGGATTATTATTTGAGAGAACTGCTGGAGTCGAACTTGCGGAAACGCAATATGCAATGTTTGAGGCTGTGGCTGACAAATCGTCTGCCAAGGTCCTTAAGGCAGTGTGGAAGAGAGAAACCAGAATGATCGCTCGCGTTCGAGGAATGAGCTATGAACAAGGAGTAAACAATATCAGGAAAAGGCCAGTCGGCCCGTCCAGTCTGCCTGATGCTAACACTCCACACGCGTGAAAATCGTTGCTTAAGATTATTTCGGATCAATTAAGTTCACGGGTAGATTTTGGATTCAATTTCTCGCTTACTCGGTGATTAAACAATGGTGAATTACATTTGACGGATATGACCAACACTGTTGTTTAATAATCCAAATATTATTAAGTAAGTCACACAAACTGTGCAGCGCCTTAGGACATCCTCCAAACATGAAAGTTGCTTCACACATGTAATTTTGGCGTTGCTGTAAAAGGCTAACCTTGAAATATTTAGGTAGGTGATATAGGGGGATGGAGGGGCAGACAGAGGTTGGAGAGTGGAGGGGTAGAGAGGGGTTGGAGTGTTGACAGTTTGAGAGACGGTGTAAGGGGGTGAGTTAGAAGAGAAAGAGCATGATGGGGTTTACGTTATTGGGGGAGTGGGGGGTGACAGAGAGGACATACGTGTGACAAAGAGGTAAGAAAGCGGGAGTGAGATAGAGAATGTGAGAGAGATTGAGTGAATGTGGGAAAATTGGGGGAAGGGGAGAGAATCAGATTCAGAGAAGGTGATTGATAGGGAGTGTGAGGGGGGCTGGAGAGAGTATGTGGGAGAGAGGGAGTGAGAGCGAACAATTCAGAGAGGGAGAGGCTAATTTAATACTGCCTGTGACATACATATCTCTGCTTCCACTGCCCCCACCCTGGAGTCAGGCTCCGCCAATGTTTAGCGCTCTGAGACGCTCCTCTCCGTGGAGGGCCTTACATCAATGCAAGTTGTTGTTGTTCGGTTAACCTGCATGTCAGAGATCGGATAACGTTCCCCCGTTTGGTATCTGGGTTTAATGTCATCCTCCTATCTAAGATTTGAATAGTCATGGCCTTGAGCACAAATGTGAAAAAAGAGGTAGAAAAACACTCGTTGACATACGTTTATCTAAAGAATGAGAAAGAGGGAGATGGCAGTATTCTCCCAAATAACTGTCCATATCTCTTTCTTCTTATCAGTTATTTTCCCCTGCAAAAAGAGTCTGCTCAAAGATCGCTGGCAGCCTGTGAAGGGTGGGTGTATATCTCTGTGAGCAGCGGAGTTGGAGTTTGAAACACATTTTTAAAAAATCTAACTTTGAATTAGTTGCGTAATTCTCGTGGAGGGTCAGCAAGCTTCCCAATTGAATCGATATCGATTCCACGGTATCTGTGGTCTCAGTTTTAGGATAAAGTAAAGCTATTTGTATTACTTATAAAGCCCTGGATTATTGCACAACCGTATCGTCTGACCACCAATCTCTTACGATGGTGAGCCCTTCTTAGTGATGCCGATGAGCCAGGCTGGGCTATCATCAGCTGTGCTCTGGAATAGTATGGAATCATCTGCTCAGGAACCAGACTGGAGACCAGTACAGAGGGCTGGCCCGGTGATACCCCCACACGAGTACCCCCTCCCATCGCACAGGAACATATATTCTAACTCTTCACCTTTCAGTCTTCAGAATCACCAGCCGCCTGGCACTCCTGCAGCCGCTCTCAGGCTGTTTGCCGTCTGAAACCTTTCTGAAACCTGACACTCACTAAAGGGAGCGGCGCTTCTCACAAAATCAACGCCAACCATCTGACAAGTCTCTGCGTGTACAATTAGTTGATGGAGATTCTAAAGCTTCAAGAGTGTTGAGATGGCTTCAGCAACACAGACTAAAATATTCAATAACGTGTGGTGATATGGTCATAAATTCCAACATGAATCTGTTCAGAGTTTACCCGCTGACCTGTACTTACCACATGAGCAAACACCTGGTCTCTAGATGATACAGGCCTCACACAATAATATAATTATGAACTACCGCTAAACAGAGTACTTAAGAAGAACTGTGCATTCATTTTCTATCTGTAACTTTTTTCCTTAATGTTTGGATTCTGTTTCTGCTGCTTGGTTTTCTCTTCCCTCCTGTGGGTTCCCTCCTGCTGGGCAGGAAAGCGGCTGCTCTCAGTCTGTTTGTGCTCTGAAAAACTCCTGAAATTTGACTCTTAGCACAAGGAGAGGCGATACCCAGTAATGTATATCCAACCAGTCTGACAACTTGCAGTGTGTTTTGTTTACTGACAGAGCTCTCCAAGTTGACATTAATTTACCGGGAGACAAGGAAATACAAAATCCATTCTCTTTTCTGCCCGCACCTTTGGAAAATATCACAGTCACTTCGCCTCATTCCAACCCTTGCCACATTCAAGGTACGTCTC